AAGAAACATTTTCTCAAGAAAATCTACTAGAATTCAGGAAGAACAGTGAGAGTCTGTGGTATTTGAACTGAGAACCACTCCCTTCCTCTCCCCTCGCAACTCAGCAAGATGGAAATTCCACTCCAGCCGGGTGCAGCCAAGAACACAAGGCTCCCTCTCCCCCCGGCTCTGAGTCAAGGGCTATCTTCCCAGGAGGGGCAGGATACCAGCATTTCACCTCCTGTCCCCAGTTACCTGTTGCTGAGGCTTAGCACTGGGTGAATGCAGTCAAGAGGTGGAGGCTCCTATCTCCCACCTCCCACCTAGACCCCACTCATGGGATCAAGACTCTGAGTTGGGTGTGGTGTGCTGCAAATACTGGGGCCCTGATTACTCAACTCTGCTTGTAAAGTGGCAGTTGTTTGATGAAGTAAGAGACAAGCCAAGAAGACCTAAGTCTACCATCACTCTTTCTTTCTCACCTAGCACTTAGCTCCTAGAGCAAGAATGTCACAGAAGCATGCCATTGTCCTTATTCCCAGCTAAGACACTGACCCAGAGATTTTCCTGGGGGGTGGGGGGGACCATAAAACAGCTCCTAATCTCTTCCCAGAGGAACTGACTCCATTTGCAACAGAAGGTGAAGAAGTTCGAGCCTAAGGATGGAGGTTATGTTGAAAGGCAATTGGTAGAGACTGTTATTTTCATTGGACATGGAGGCTAAACTATAAGCCAGCTAGTTTGCCTGAAAGAACCAGGGGAGAAGCCAGCTGAGATCAGAACAAAATTCAAACACTGACCTTGGGAACTAGTCCTTCAAAGGCATTCAAATTTGATTGGTTCAGTCTGTGGAACAATTTATGCTCCAGGGCATTGTTGAAATTAATACAGCAATAAGCTGGAAATGAGGGGAGCTTAACAGCTGGCTGTGGTCAATGAAAGAGACTGTCAAAGAAAGCTCTGCTAAACTACTGTCATCCCAGGGTGACTGTGAGCACACCCAAGCCTGCATCCCATAAGGGGTTCCAACACTGGAGGTGGAGAAGGAGGAGAGTGAAGAATAGACTCCATTAGAATAATCCACCCTGTTGCTAGAAAGGCAAGTAAATGATAACAGGCCCCAGAGGAGGTGACCAGTACCTGAAGTTACTAAAATATGTTATCTAAAATGTTCAGTTCCCAACAAAAAATTAGGAGGCAAACAAAGAAACAGGAAAGTATGACTCATACAGCAGCAAGAAGGCAGCCAACATAAACTGCATGTGAGAGTGACCAAATGTCAGATTCAACAAACAAAGCCCTCAGAGTAGCCCATACAAATATATTTAAAGAACTAAAGGAAACTATGATTAAAGAAGTAAAGGAAGATATAATAAAAATATTGTATCAAATAGAAAATGTCAGTAGAGAGACAGAAATTATAAAAAAGAACCAAATGCAAAGTCTGGAGTTGAAAATTACCATAACTGAAATGAAAAATTTACCACAAGGGCACAAGAATAGATTTGAACTAGCAAAAGAAAGTATTAGCTAATTTGAAGAAAGACTGACAGAGATTATGCAATCCAACAAACAGGAAAAAAAAAA